AGTTAGCAGAGATAGGTTCCATAAATACGATTTTAAGAATGTTGGAAAATAGTAAAGAGAGAGCAAATGGAACTTATCGGAAATCGCTTTCCTTTGCCAAAGTTGCAGTGATTTGAATTTGTTGCAGGAACTCGAAACTAGAAATTGCAGGAAGATGGAGGGTTGAGTCGTGCCACTTGGTCACTCCCCTTAAAACCATATTTGCCCCCTACGGTGCAGCCGGGTAATCGCAAACTGGTCATCTAGATAAAACAGCCCACAGGCCACTGGTAGGCGTGCACTCGCTTACGAAACCTCCGCGAATCACTGAAGATTGATGCTCATATTTCTTAGAGAAAAGAAAGTCAAAAAAGGAAAATAATTTATTTAAAAATTAAATTTGAATTTGAAGAAACGTTTTAAAATTGAAAAGGTGTAATTCGAATAAAACAAATGATTCAATGCATCGCACGTACACATACACGTAAACACACACCCACGCCCACGCCCACGCCCTGACTTGGCTCAATGCACATGTGTGAAAAGCACCCCCAACCCCCCCTCACATGCATGGAATATCTATAGTCCTCTCCTCCTATGGGTTCCTATCCATAGAAGGAGCAAAACTACAAATATTCCCACTTCTTTTCCAAGCAATGTGGGATAAGGAGTCATTCAAGGGAGGAAAGAACAAAACTAAAAAAGGAAGGATAGTGATTCTTGTAAATTTGAATCTCCATCCAACAATTTCCTGTCAGCACCGAATGCGATCGTTCACCACATTACCCTCAAGCACCCAAGCCACAGCCCTAGGACAACTAATCCATTCGGGAAGATCCCACCAAGCTTGAAAAGAAAGGGCTTGAAAATTGGGGTAATTGGTGGGGAACTGGTTTTGTGGGTAGCCATCTGGTGGATCGTCTGAACAGGAGAGGAGGCCGCGTGATCACCAACGAATCATGTTTACTGTGATCAGATAGTTATGGGTAACTCTAAAAATTTGATAAAAGAGGGGTCATTTAAGATTTAACAACAAGAACATTGTTGACATAACCTTTGGTAAGTCTAAAAATTCAAACAATGTTATGAGTCTTAAAGACCCAAAATCGAATCGTGCCATCTACTGATCCAAAAACTAATAAGATTCCATCCATGCTTAGCAAGTAACGTCCTTAATTACTGTGATCAGATAGTGAACCCATGATATGCTTTGTTGCTAGAAATGCTTTCAACATTAATGGCAACAATATATCCAGCATAAAATGCATGAAAACCAGAATCTAGTAAGATTACATCAATTACACAAGGGAAATCTATCCTCACAGGAAACGACACCAACACTACTTCCATTCTTATTGTTGACTATAGAAAGCCTTCTCAAATCCTCTTGTTTCTGCTGCAACCTACCACCCGTGCAATATAAGTTAATTAAATCCAGTAAGACCGTTGTTGGTAAATGCAAGTTCTCTCCAAGAAGCTTTAGTAGAGCTGTACTCTTGCTCGTGCATTCTTACACTGGCAAAAGAATTAGTTTTCATTTTTTATTTTCCTTCAATGGTAGGGACTGGTTGAGAAGGGTTTTTTACACTTTCGTTAAAGAGAAATCAAGGTTCAATCATTACGTATTGGCCAATATCATTTCGGGACCCTTCTGATATGTTCCTATAGTGGGTGTATCGGGGGTCTGACCGGTTCAGGGGATGGAAGGGTCCTAGACCGTCTCCCCTGAACCAGTTTTAAAAAATAAATAAGTAAAAAACAAGTATCGTAATGCCCGATACGCCTCTACCGGCGTACCGGGCGTATCAGTATTTTGAACCTTGAGAGAAATAGCTCTAAGTGAAAAGGGTGCAAATTATAGGGGTGTTTTAATAATAAGAAAACTAGAGGGGCAACTGTTAATGTAGTAAAGCATAGGGGATGCCTTAATAAATGACCTTTTTATATACTTTTATATTAAAAGGAAAAAATATGGTTTTATATGGGTTTTGCCTTGTAAATTACAAGGGGGTGACTAGGCCAAGGCAATTGGAATGGGCAAGGGAATGGGCTAGATTGTTGGATAGGCCGTTGGGCTGGGCAGAGAGTAGGGGTGATTAAAGGCCAAGCCGGGGTTAGCACTTATAATAAGGGCAATACCCCAAGCTTAGGCCCGGTCTAACCAGGTTTTGGGCTTGATTCTAAGCCATATATTAAAATTAAATATTACATATATAGTATTTTATATTAAATGTTATATAATATGTCTATAAATATATTTTAAACATTATATAGTATAAATATTAGGGAGAATTATAAATTAATGCCATGTGTTTTGGACCTATTCTTATTTTAGTCCCGAAACTTTAAAGTATGCCAATCCAATACTTGAACTTTCAAAAGTTATCCTTCAAAGTTAATCATCTTCCTCGGAAATGAGACATTGTTCATCATATGCATTGTGTACTGCTCCATTGATGTACTCATGCCTCAAAGCCAAACGCCAAATAAATTCCATATCTTGGAAGCTCAACTCTCTGGCCTTAAAATTCTTTTTTTTTAAGAAAAACATTGGCTAATTCATTGAGAAGCATCTTTCAACAGAACAGGTACAAGGAAATCAGGGGACAAAGACCATAAGTGCAAGTTCTGTCAAAGAACAGGCCTTTTTTGCAATTACATGAGCAACCATGTTACCTGTACGATGAACGAAGGAGATAGAATGAGAAGAACTCCGCAAAAGATTTAAGAACCCAACTGATAGAATCTCAGATCAGCAACTAGATCAATCTGATAAAACAGATACTGTTTGCCCATAACCACTAGCCACGTAAAGCCAAAAGTTGCCGTGTCAAACCTCTTCCGATTGGCCTGGGAGCGAGCTGCTTCTCCGAAAGCTCTACTATGTATCTATTTGATATGATACATAGTTATTGCTTGTAATTAATGTATCCATTCCAACACCCAGACCCAGAACTTCTTCTTTATGCAGCCGCATCTGCATCTCTCTCTCTCCTCTTTAGGTTCTGTTTAGAAAGAGTGCAAATTTAAATATGTAAAGCAAGGTTCAAAATATCAATATGTCGGTAGGGGCGTATCGGGCGTTTCGTTACTTGTTTTTTTACTTTTTTTTTTTCAAAACTAGTTCAGGGGAGTCAGTCTAGGACCCCTTCATCCCCTGAACCGGTCAGACCCCCGATACACCCACTGTAGGGGCATATCGGAAGGGTCCCAGAATGATACATATCGGCCGATATGTAACAATACTTTGAACCTTGATGTAAAGTACATTCTGGTTCATACAAATGTATAGTTGGTTTAGATGGCACCTAAAGGACATTTGCATCCTTTCACATGTCATTTAGGCTCAGTTTAGGAGTACAAATGAAAATTTGTACAGTACAAATACAAATAAAATAATACAAAATACAAAATTTTACACTCTACATAGTTGCATTTGTATTCCTTCCAAACTAAGCCTTAACAGCAATTAATGATTTTGAATTAAATTGAAACGTTTTAAAAGTTCAGATACTATATTAGAACATTTTAAACTTTAGGAATCGAAGTAAGACTTGACCCAGAATATAGGTATTGGATTGGCATATATTGAATATATGCAGGTTGATAGAGGGGCTGGGCCTGAACACAAAACCTGGGCTGGGCCTGAACACAAAACCTAAGCAAAAGCCTGTATTTTTTCAGGCCAAGCTTGTGCGAGCTAAGCTGAAATGATCAACCCATCTGGAATGATCAACCCAAGCGGAGGTGCCAGGGCAGTGGGGCACTAGGCAACAAGGCAGGGGCAGGTGCACAGAGTGCCAGGTGGGGAAATTGGGTAGTGGGGAAGGGGGGCACATACGGGTGTTTATGCATTCTAGGCGGGGTGTGGCATGCATTTGCACATAGATCCCATTTGAGACTTTCTTTTGTTTAATCAAATCCCCATTGAAACATTTTTTTTTGTTAATTAATCCCATCTGAGACTTTTTCTTTTGTTTAATCAATCTCCATTGAAACACTTTTTTTGTGTTAATTAATCCATTTGAGATTTTTGTCGAACACATGGGGAGCCCATTCACTGAAACCCCTACCCTCTTCAAAAATGTCCTACTCCCATTAATTCTCCTTAGGTGATTTTACAGAGGAAAAATAATGAAAAAAAATGACAACCGTAAATATAAATAAAATATAAAAAAGCAAAAAGAAAAAACATTGAAATTTTATACCTGTACCTCAAATATAAAACCTCTCTTCATGCCCAGCCTTCAAAATTATGGGTAAGTGATCTTATGCTTCCAAATGGGTGTTGGCATGACCGCATGAGGACCTCCTTGACGGCTTGACCATATGCTTGCACCATTAGGACTATCTTACCTTTATAGTTAATCTTCTGGTGCACCCTCAGCCTATAACCTCCTGGAAACTCCTCTAGTCCATTTCGGTACTCCATAAGTGCCATCTTTTTATGTGGAAGGTCTTCTCAAATATTGTCAAAACAAAGGGAGCAGGTTGGTGTTACAGACAAAGAGGAGTCATGGCATTCTCATTTTGTGACTCGTCAATGGAAACACAAATGCACCTCTTCTTTGAATGTGAATTATCGAAGGCAGTTTTGCTTCATGCTCAAATTGGTGTTTACCCCCAAGTTTTCACACAGTAAAACTCCTTGAATATCGTGGATTGGTGTTATCAAAGAACTGAAGAAAGCAAGCCTAATAAGAAAATCTACCTCGCAAGATTCATATTTTCATTATATATATAATGCAAATATCAAGTTAAGTCAGGTTCACGCTTTTCAACCTTAATCCTAACCCTAAGGTGAACTTCAACCCAACCCTACATTTTCGGATTAAGCTAAGCCGACCCAAGTTACAGCCCTAATTATTAATTTATTATATTATGTTGTCAACAAACACTCTGGTATCTGAGATTAAAATGATCGATTGGAACTCAATTTTCAGATTTCAGTCATTCTCAAATGTTGTCAAGCTTAGGGTTAGCCTCTGGTGATATGTCTTGGGGAAATCTGACTCAAATGATAACTTGTCAGAAAAAGATGTGAAGTTGCCGATGATCATCAATTCTCATTGAAAATGTTTGCTATCAAACACATCTGACTCGGTTGATAAGACAAATAATGCTGTGTTCATGAAGGCATGCATATTTGGGCAAGTTACTATTGCTTTATCACTGTATGATTTCAAAATTGTCGTCAACTGGAAAGTTCAAGGGCTTCAATCCAGTGATGTTAACTCTGACAACAACCATGCCCATAGGCCATATTACCACTTCGCCTGCCTCTGATTCCAGTTAGCTTCTAAAAGAAGACTGAAGATCATCAAACACTACTCTCAAACTACCAAAACTTTGTGGCCAACGTCTTCTCAAACAGCAAGTATTCTACATGAGATGAACTCCTAAATCAGTACCATAATGTAGAAATTGCTCTCAACTGCCCTTAATCTCCTTCTCTTTTACTTTGCACATATCCTCTGCCGACTTGACAAACTTCTTTGTCATTTCATCAACCTGGAAAACGGAACTAAAGTCAACAAGCTTAGTGACAAAACACACACACACACACACATACACACACAAAGGGATATCTGCTGGTCACTCGCCTCTTTCTCCAATTTTTTCAAATCATCCTTTGGGATACTTGATCCTACTTTCTTTACTGTATCTAATGCCTGCAAAACCCAAAGGGCATCCTGTTTCAAAGTACGAACGTAGAATAAAAATTATAAATCATTGTGACGTACTGCAGTACAACATCCGTACTTGCTCATTGCAACTCACATGGCAACATTGCATCAACTTGTCCAATATACAGTGTTGCATGGACTCTGACACCATGGATTCTTGGAGAATGAGGACTCATCTATGTGACATTTTTTTCTTTTTCATCTTGCTTATTTAACAAAAATGAACAGCTAATGTACACAATTAATGATGTTTTTCTTATAAAATGTTATTAGGTTACAATATAATCTTTTAGACCTTAAGAACTCAGCAAAATATGAATTATTATTTTAATAGTTTATACTTCTCCATAGATCTTTCTGAAAGTCCTTGTTTCTTCATCTTGCTGAGTCAGACTCTTGGACACATGTCAGATTCTAATTCCCATGTTTGTGTCCATGTAACGCTGCCTATACATCTGACCATCCAATAAAATGCCTTTCAGGATTGCTAAATAAACCTAGAACTTCCAACCATAGGATGGTAAAGATCATAAACCAGGGCTTTGAAATAAGAGAATCATCCACTGAAGCTACCTTTGGTCTAAACATCCTATATATAATATATATAAACCCACTTGCATGTTGCCATATAGACAACAATCTGTGAGAAAGTCTCATTTGCTCATACTTCACTACAGTATCAAACTCCATGCCAGAAGTCAGAACTATAATAACTGCTACGTAAGACAAGATTTAGTGTACCATAGATACAAACATATCATTTCCCTGTATTGATAGTCTATTTGGATAGGATGGATAACCCATTGTTGAACTCTTTTTTTTATAGGAAATGGTAACTTTCATTAATAAATTAAGTTAAACAAGATAATTACAACTCCAGCATTCCAAAACTGAAATGCTGACCCACATTCATAATCACTGTTACAAAGCAGACCAGAAAAGTTCACTCCTGTTTGATCCTTGTTTGGTAAGAATTGTTTATCGGATTCTTTTAGACTGGCTGGTTTCTTCAAGATCATCTCTGTCTCTGATGGAGATTCTATAGACCTGGCCCTCTCCCCACTTGAAAGGTATAAATCTAAATCTTGATGTTTGTCCTTTAGGAAACCCAAGGCCTCCAGGGATTGAGGTGTTACAGAAATGATAGTTGACTAATTCTAGGTTTCCATGGGTTTAAATTCTTTCTCCCCATGCAATATGAAAAGGTTAAGGTTGCTAATGATCCTCAAGTTTTGATTGGATGAGAGGCATCTGATGACCCTAAAGGTTAAGACAGTGGATCAAGGAGGCTATGTCTTCACTCTTCATATTCCATACTGAACCACTTTTGTTCAGATGGATCACAAGGTCAGCTAACTGAACAGTAGTTGATAACCTTGCCAGGAATAGAGTTGGGAGAAGTGAGTTACTAGAAGGGGACTTACTATCTTGTTGATTTTCTAGCTTTATTCTCTTTTTTATCCTTCTGATGGATCTTTGAAAGCATTTCCTTTCTTTCTCTTGTAGAGATGTTTGGTTGTATCTCTTTTTCTTTAACATTTAACAAATTTTCATTTGTAAATAAAGACATGGAAATTATTAGTACTGAAGACAAGGGAGAATTTGGGCTTTCATTAGCAAAACTCTTATTTTCTTATTAAAATTGTAATTTTTGATGCCATACCTTTTGACGTGCTCTTCGTATACTCTGCTTAACAACTTCAGATGATTTGGCAACCACCTTACACATGGCCTGATACAAAAACAATGATGAGGGGAAACAGCACAAAGAAGAAAAGAGAAAGAGAACAATCTACAATGAGCTCACCTGAATATGTTCCTTGGTCAACCTGGTAGAGGCATAAAGCAAGTTATAACAATAGAAGGAATTCAATCAACAAAAAGGTTTATCAAGTACTACAAAAGCTTAGAAAAGTTAATGAGCTTTAGTAAACTTGGGAAATAGAGGGCCCTTCCATTTTTAAATCACAAGTTTCTAAGTGAAGCCCAGTGCCTGTAATAGGTATTACTGGCAAGTAGATATTACTGGTAAATGGGCACCATTAAAGCCATAATAAGCATGCATTCTGGAAGTCAGTAAAAATAAGAATTAAATCAGCAAAGAGACTCATGAGTTACTGGAAAAGCTTAGAAAAATAAATAGGAAATATAAGACTTGGAAGAGAGGAACAGAGTTGTTAAAACAAAAGTTTAGCTTCCCAAGTCCAACATTTCAAGTTTTGAGCCATGCCATCTCACAAGCCAGAAACTCTAAATATAAATGGAATATATACTTACGGGGGAATAGTTGCAATCAATCGTTGACCTTCCAGTGTTGGATTTAGACCTAGGGGTGATGAAACAATGGCATGTTCTAACTCCTTCAGGGCCTGCATGAAATGACTTCTTAGGTTACAAATTCTTCAAAAAAAATTCACATTGCACAATGGTAAACCATCAGCATCAGATATTTATGTGTAAAAATACTAGTGAGAGAAAGTACCAGAATTTTCAATAATTATAAGTCTTCATTAGAATTTTTCAATTTTCAACACATTATTATGGGCCTTCAATCAATAAATGTGCACAGAAGACCAACAACTGCACCATCAATTAGTGACAAAATGCCAATTGAAAGATGTAGTAAGAGCTAGGATCAAACCAAAAAGAGCATGATTTAACATAGTGAAAACATGAGTCAAGGGCTCACAATTTAACCATGAATATGACCCTAGATAGAATGGAAAAGTGGAACTGGATTCATGTAGTCATCCCCATGTAAAGTGGAGTTAATTCCACTTATCTACCCAGCTTTCCGGCAAGTGTCAAGCAATTCTTCAACAATCTTGAAATCATTCTTGAAAGAATGGATAGAAGATTAGCAGGATGGAAGAGGCATTTTCTTTCATTTGGAGGGCATATCAGTTTAATGAATAGTGCTTTAACTAGTATTCCTATCTATCATACCTGATCTTAGCCAAAAGGCCGAGAAAGGTAATACTAACTGTTACACGTCAATTCTCAACATGCCAGCTTCAAAGACACTTTCTATAGAATGGTAGAGATGAACAGGGGAATAAATCCATTACATTAAGTTGAACTGGGTGTGTCATCCCAAGCATCTTGATGGCTTTGGTTTCTGTTGAGGTACAAGATTGGCAGCCTTTTTCTTTCTTACTGGGCCTGCTACTAGGACTGTTATATTTCTTTTTTCCCTTTTGGTCAATAACAAATTTTTCATTAATTCAAGTAATGTGTGATTAAAATCCAAGAAATAAACAGCCTGGTCCCAATGAATAACACAGCCCAAAACAACTGTTCCCTAGCAACCTCTTTCTTGTCTAATAAATTTGCCAAGCCATTTGCAGATCTTCTGACCTAAGAAAAGGAAGCTATAAGATCCCTAGCATTGCATGCAATCTCCCATAAAGCTTGTCTGATAATCTAGACTCCTTAATTTCTGCTTTGCAGCCATATATTACCAACTTTGAGTCCCCTTCTACCTACACTTGTCTAAATGCTTAGCTAATCTCATCCCATGCAACGGTGCTGTAATTTCTGCATTTAGGGAGTCACCAGTCCCTATTAGTCCTGAAAGCATGGCCATAATCCATTGCCATCCCTAGTTACACCTCCAATTCCACAGGGACCTGGATTACCTTGAGAGCTACCTTCAAAGTTCAGATTCACCCTATTATTAATTGGAAGCCTCCATACTTGTATTTGGTTGCACACTGAAGAAGAAGCTGCAACTGCTTCCCAAGCTCTTAGAGTACCACTCATTGTGTATTCCGCAAAGATCTCTACTGCTTTTACCCAGTGAGCAACTTTCAAGCTAATACTTTCTATGGTTGTCTCATATAGTCCAAACTCCAAAGTATTGCGGCTCTAGTGGCCCTCCACATAACTCTACCTTTCCCTTCAGGTTGTCTAAGAAACTTGGGGTTGAATAAGCTAACCACATCATAAGGGGGATCACGCCAACAAACCAAAGAGAGAACAAAACCACACCCAAATGCATTTCACAAAAGAATAGGAGATTAATAAATGGGAGATAGACTCACCACTAACATTGCAAAGGATACAAAAGAGGGGTGAGAGAACCAATTTGGTCTCCTTTTCTGGAGCAAATCATTGGTGTTAATCTTCTCTAGCACCACTTCCCAATAGAAAGCCTTAACCTTAGAAGGCAGAGGTCTACTCCAACACCAGAAAGTAAACACCCAAACTGTTTAACTGAATAAGAGAATTAAAAAAATAGTCACAATAGAAAATACCAGGAGTGGCTGACCAAATACAACTGTCCTCACAGGATTGATCCAGGAACACACTCCCAAGCTTAGACAACAACTCAATCACAGAGGAGCATTTCACATCCCTGAGACACCTTCTAAAAACCAAACTCCCAATCAACCCCACTGGCAAACCAAAAACAAAATTTTGAAATAGGTTCCTTCTTGTAAGAGGAAAGATAATACAGAGGCAGATAATGATTTTTGAGAGGGAAACCACCCAGCCACACATCTTCCCAGAAAAGCACTTTATTACCACACCCGAAAAGGATCTGTTTTATTTCTTTATTATTATTTGGTTTTTATTCTTTTATTTGTAGGCTATGGACTACGTTACTTGGAAGCTTTTTTTTTCTTCTTTTTCCTATATGAGGATACAGATGTAAATTTTCTTTTAATTACAGCAATTAATAAAAGTGGGAAAGGATAGAACACAATCAGTGTTCTTCCTCCCATCTTTTCTTCTTTTTTATTTATTTTTTTTGAAAAGTAAAATAAAAGTTTCATTAAAATAAAAAGAAGAATACATAAGGAAGGTGACAAGATATCACCCTAGAGATAAATGACAGCTGACATAGAATCTCCACCAGCTACAAGACTCAAATAAAAAAGGAAGGTTAACACCTCTAGAATCATAATTTCAGACAGCTTCACTGCTGATACAACTGCACCACGAGCAAAAACAATCCTAACAGAACCAGGGCCATAATCTTCCCCATTCAAACACCTCCTCCTGATCGTCGCCATCTTCATCCCACCTCCCACCTCCGTTTTCCTTTTTCTTCCTCTCTTGCTTTCCCTTTCTTGAATCTTGCTGCAGGTTGATTTAATTTACTTTTGCTGCTGTAATTAAGAAAGCCCAGTGCTTCAAGATAATGAGCCTAATGAGTAAAGCTTCAATAAGAAAATGGCTTTAGAGGTATCCCAAAGAGGATGTTGCTCTTTAGTGAAGGGTAATGGTTAAATGACTAGGCAACTATACCAGTGAATTCTTCTTATCCTGCTAGTTTTTTAAAAGGCATCATGAAGATTCATGATGAGTATCTATCTACAAGGTGGCAAATGGGTATAAAACAATATTGGGGTAAGATGATTCATGCAGTGTTGGAAAGCTATGCTCCTCTTTTTTATTTGATCAGCAACACAAAAATTGATTCATTAATTTTAAAATGAAGATATACAACAAGAAGTTGTGGGAAGAAATATCCCAATATTTACAAAACAGCCCAGAACATGGATCATCATGTCTTTATATATCTGTTTGAAGCGCCTAAATTCATTCCTTAGCTGCCACATTACTCCTTTACCCTTTTCAGCCAACCGATAACTATTTTTGAATCACCTTCAATAATCAGCCCATCAATCCCCATTTCTTTAGTTTTCTCTACTCCATACATTGCTGCCATCAGTTCTGATCTCACCAAATCTCCATGCTAAACAGGACCTGAATACATGGCTAGAATGTTTTCATCTTCTTTCCTTATTACCCCACCAATACCCGATAGGCCAGGATTTCCCATGCAACTGCCATCAAAGTTCATTTTCTTCCACCCAGCACATGGAGGTGTCCAGGCTTCATGTACTTTTTGTCTTTTGGAGGAAGAGTTGACAATTAGTTCCCACAAGCTGAAGAAATCTTCAACCTTAAAGTCAGCAAAGAGCTTTAAAGTTTTCACCCAATGTGCCACCCTTAAGGTTATAACCTCTATTACAGCTTCCTTACTCCTTTGTCTTCAAAGATTCTCAAGTTACTTTCTTCCCAAATTGTCCAAACCACTTCTGCTGCATCTCCCCATTATTCTACCTCTTCTTTTAGAGCAACTAAAAATATGAGAGCTAAAAAAACCTTCCAGACTATCAAGGAGAAGCCAACCTAAAAGAGACGAAAACCACTCCCAAATAGAGTTAGCGAAAGAACAGGATATTAATACATGAAAAGTAGTCTCACCATACAACTTACGTAAGAAGCACCAACTTGGGGACAAGCACCAATTTGGTCTTTTCCTCTGAAGCAAATCACAGGTGTTAATGGAGCCATGAAACACTTCCCAACAGAAAGCATTGAATTTTGGAGGAATAGGCCGACACAAAATCTCCTTAACAGGGAAAGGATAATGAGAGGTAGCCATAAGAGAGTTCAAAAAAGACTTGAAAGAAAATGACCTTGTTTGATTAAGGGCCCACACTCTAGAATCTGAACCTCCATCCCCCAAGACCACTGAATTCAACAGGCTAAGGAAAGCAAAAACACTGGAAATCTCAGATTCTCTAAGATTTTTAGTAAAGCCCAGATACTAATTCAAGCCTGATTGGGATGAGGATGAGCTGATAAAATCACACACAGGTTTTCCTTTGAAACTAGAGAGATCAAAAAGGAAAGCTAGGCTCCTCTTACTTACCAAAACTATATAGTCTCCACCAAAGTTGGAATGAATATTTGTGGATTCTTTTCCATCCAGGGCAATTTGGTGGCTTGGAACCCTATATTCCATAGGCCTATTGTAACAGACAGAGTGTCTTCTCCTAATTCAGAAACTTGAAGATGCTTGTCTTTCCTGGGTCATAAGTATAAAATTGTGTGGAAAGAGGATCCAAAGAGAACTTCTATGCAACTTTGCTAGAGGATTGTCATGATGCTGGTTGTGTTTGATGTGAGCATCAGATTGGTTCTAAAATTTTAGTAGGAATTTTTTATTTTTCTGATTTTTCTAAATTTTGTCATAGGGGTAAATAGGTCATTTTAAAGTTTGATTTGATGTCTGAACATTGCAAATTATTAGTTAGGTAATTGTTAAGGTTGATTTAAAATTTTGAAGTCATTGGTCAGTAGGTTAGAACTTGGCCCCTTTTGTCTTAATTGGATGTAAAGTGGTGATTTTGCAACATGGTATATGATCAACCAAACCACACTAGTAATATGTTTCTTATATTTTCTTCTCAATATTGATTTAAGTTGTAACTCCATCTACTAAAAGATCATTTTTGTTAATTCAATCCCCCTTCAACATCCAAGTATCTTCCACCCATTTTTCAACTTATAGAGTTTCTATAAAACTGTAGGGTAAAAATTCTTCTTTAGAAACTATCCAACTTAGGAA